AAGGATTCGGAGCATTTACAATGACAGCTATTTGAAAAATTGATAAGAATTTTTAGATGTAATTTCTTAAAATATAACTTTTTCAAATTTTAGTTATATTTTATTGGGCATGTGCCCATCTGGAATCACAGTTGTACCAGGGTCAAGGGAATCTTGCCTAATTTTTTTAGGATAAATGAAATCTATTGAATTAGAGGATAAGTCAATGCCAGGGGAACTCTTGCCCAATGTTTTTCAAGTGCATCCTTTAAAAAAAAAGGGTTTTTATATGTACATGTCTTGGGGCTTTGTCGAAAATATTGTAATGAACATTGTTTTCCCTACTTTTTACCCCATGGTGCATATACATCTTGCATAGTCATTTTGTATTTTGATAATAACTCGAATAGTAACAAATTCACACAGGGTAAAAAATAATCAGTTAATATTAAACAGGTTTTATGGGTCCCTCCAAGCATTCAAGTTTTTCGAACCCGTGATATACTAGACTGACCATATACATGTATGATTTTTTTTTAACTTATTTTGAAAACTGTTAGGCTTACAGTATCCAAGTGGAAAAAGAAACCAAAAACAAGTACTATCGTTAAAAAAGATATCTGATGCATTTAGATATCAGCATAGAATTTTATCTTTATCGGTTTTTTTTTGTATCATAGTTAAAAAAAATTGAACACAATTTGACGACAAAAGGCTGACGATTCTAAAAGTTGAGGATATGCACTTTTCTCTAAAAAATAAAAACATATACTGCATGGTAAATGTATATATATCTATAATACTTAAATAACGAGGTCCAATTTATTAGCCGGCATGACGTAAGAACGACGAATCGAAGAATTCAACTTTATATATAATTAATATAGGACAATGATGTTGATTAAAAGTCGCACCATTCCATGCCATTTTGTTTTCCACATAATTAATAATACCAATACTTAACAAGTTCCGGGACGAATCATTTATCGATACCAATAATATATGTCACATGTAACCTGTTACCTAATCTGTATGTTCCGTCTCTGTTAGGCGCACCACCAAACGGTGTATTTTGGATTTACCAAATACACGGATCATAATCAAACCTAATCATCGTCATTATACAGGGATTGACAATACTAAATTCAATCATTTACCAAAAATATATCTACAGTTTCCAGTTGTTGTAAGAAAACCACCATGGGTTCAAACAGAAAGATTTTTAAAGCAGAGAAAACTGTGCACCTTATAATCAGCAATTCTTTTTGAAATGACATAACGAATACTATAAATCCAGACTAAAAAAGACATAGGTACTTTAATTCAGTCACGGACCCGAGATGTCGCGAGTGTAGAGTTTTTTCGAAAACGTTCAAACCCAAAACGGTGAAGGCTTGGTACGTCATGGTAAGTGTTTTCTACTATGCATGCATCACCTGCCATACCAATCCACTCTCAGTGAAAATGTCACAATTGGGAATACATGATGAAAAAATCGGTTGATAAACTTGTCATACGACTTTCATGATATCTAAAGATCGAAGACCACCGCGCTAGTTGAGACAAAACCACATCGTATTGATCAACCAATTCATGATAAAGACCACACAACTTTTCAGGTACAAATTTTATGATGTCGATTTCTGTCATGTTTTCTCTCAACCTTGCTAGACCAGTTTTTTTCGTTATAGGCTTACAGCTGTTAATGAAAGTTATATATGAAAATGCCAGAAAATGGTGCAGCAGTTTGCTACTAGCTAACAATTCATGAATTAGTTTGATATTCCGCAAATTTATCTACAATCAAAGAATGAGATATGTCAAAGACTTGTTTTGTTGTAGGCATTTATCGTTGATTGCTTGTCATATCATAAACAACCATATAATCATGGTATCTTCATAGAATTTTGGTTTTTTAAATGTACTTGTGTTTTGCATGTTTCATTTCAAATTTTGAGAAACCAGAATGACAAAAACATAGTGCATGTATCTATTTTAATATATGTCTCAATTATTTGTTGTTACATTTGTGTAAGTAGTCTTTTAACACAAGTACCAACTATTCCATTTGTTTACGAAATGATACAGGGGGAATTGTTCCTTTCTAGCTGTCTAACTACTTTAGCAAGCTTTGATTCGGGGGTTGTTGATTTTATTTTTGTTAAGATATACCCCACTCCAATACAAACAATACCAAGTACATGATGACGACTACCCACAATTAGTCCTGCTCCTACAACTATCATCAGATAACCGGAAAATCTTTTATATTTTTGAAACATAGAATTCGCGCCAAAACCAATCAAACGATCAAGCGATGATTTATATATACCGCTTTTGATCTCTTCAAGAATTTCATTTGTATAGAATGACGATGTGTCTGCATTTTCAAGAATCATTTTCTCAATCATCGGTAACATTTCTTCAAACTGTCTTTCTGAATCGATTTTTGAGCGATTGTTAAGAAATACAACTCTGTCTCGGCATTTGGATAAAAATTCCCGAAAGTATTCCGGTATGTTTTCTAAAAACTGCGAAGGTGTGGTACCGTCTTGTTCCAAATCATCCCTTCCAGTGATTACTATAATTGTATAACGGAAAGGATCTCCACCAAAAAGATGCAAGAAATGCTGGACAGCCTTTATTTCTTCTTCAGTAAATCTCCCAACCCTCAAAACATACATGATTATATTTGGTCCGGGAGAAAGCATATTTAAGCATTTCAGTATTTCTAACTTGACAGACTCCGTTGATAAATTGGTATCAAAAAAACCTGGGGTGTCTACAATTTTTAAAATGTGTTTTTTCCTCTTTGCTTTACCGATGTTGCATGTGCTTGTTACTGACGAAACTGAGGCTTCCGACCTAAAATATTTTTCCTTCATAACAGTATTGCCCGTAGAACTTTTTCCAGAACCAGTTCTTCCAATTAAAACAATTCTTATCTCAGTATCTATGTCTACCTGCAAGATTTAGAATAATTCATTTCAAATATAGTACATAAATGTTTTCGGTATTTATATATCCTCAATAAAAAAGTTGAGATACTTTTGTTGTGGTATTTTGCTAAGAAAAGAACCAAATTGTAATGAACACAAATCATCTTTTACGATATTCTGCGAATTGTAACATACAAAGTGCATTGTCGAGAATTTAACTTTTTATATTTCAGTTACATTTAAAATTATGAGATCAACCTGAAAAAAAATGATATTTTGCTAACAACTCAAACAGTTGCTGATTTTTTCAAAAAGTAACACAACAAACAACTCATCTTAGGCGTGAAAGTGAAGTTATTTGCCAACTAAGTTATTGACAAAACATGTTTCATACTGTATTGTAGTCAGAATGTTTCTGGAATGAGCTAGATGGACTCAGTAAAGGTATATAGGTAAATTACGCAAATTGATTCCTAAAACAATCCTTTTGAATCAATACAATTATTTAGTATAAGCCAGAAGATATCTTAATGTGAGCAAAGATATTTACATTATATTCAAGCAATTATATTTAAAAAAATATATTGTATTAACATTAGTCTAGAATTTTGTTTGAAGACAGTTTGGGGACCGTTATAAGTCGCTTTTTGTGTCCTTGGTGTACTGTTCTCTTGTCTAATACCTCTCAATCGAATAGTCAAGAGTGTTTGTCAGGTTGGAAAACTACAAACATTGGCATAAAATGGATTCTTGAAAAACTACAATATAGAAACAAAATACTCTGTTGGTTCATTATTTGGGACAGACACAATACAATTGGTTTAGTTATTATATACCAATTCCATCTGATTATATCGGTGTTAGAGTCAAACATGTGCACAACTGTGTGCCTTGTTCCCGAGTGAGTAATATATTTAAAAAAAATATAGTTACCCTTTTGCATCTTTGTAAAATAAATTTTGAGGCAAAAAAGGAGGATAGTTGATATTTGATTTGGTGAAATGTATAGGTAGTTCCTTTATGCAAACTTTAAATGAATTGGAATGAGACGTACAGAAAGTTGACATTGATATTGTCCAAACAATGCTTATCGGTAGTAAGACATGGGAGAGAAGATATGCATTAAATACAAAAATGTACCACTGTTTGAATGTTTGGTGAATTATAAGGTCTCTCCCTTTTTTAAAAAGACAATCAAAATTATATTTATTCTAGATGAAATATATATATATATATATATATGCATTGTCATGTTATTAAAAAATGTTACTTTCAACCTTAATAAAGTCAGGTCCAGTGTAATGTTTTTATTTTATAATACAATATAGTTATGATAACAAATGTTTGGTTAAACGGTCCCTTCTACGATATAAGTGATGTATTAGTTACTTCTATTTTCAAAAAATTCGAATTTGATGTCATGAAGATTATATTTTTGTTTTCATTAACTTAGCTCAATAAACAGTCGATGTTCGATAGCACGAGCGCGATCACTTCCCCAACCAATTTTGTTAGTGTTCAGTGATTTCCTGTTAACACAAAAACAAGTATAATTAATTGTTAACCGGTAGAAGTTATCAAACATTTTAGACCAAAATTCATCAATGGTTTTTGAACGAATGCTTCAATTTCGTCTCACTGTTCAACATGGTTATCACCAAATAAACCAAAAATTCTTCTAGTTTGTAGCAAACAATCAAAACAAACGTAAACCAGCATGAACTTTTGTTTTATCTTCACCTGAGTTATAAGTTCTTCAGACTCAGATATCAACAAACAATGAAAACACAGAGTATTATTAATTATGTTCAGCAAGAAAGGTTGGCAGATCAAATGATAATCACAACATAATAAAACTATCCTTTTAGTAAGGAATTGTTAAAAACCATATTATTAGAATAAGAGGAAAAAGCGCTGTCCACGAACAGACCGACGGAAAAGAAGTTGGACATACATGATGATTAGGAAAGATTTAAAAGGTCTGTTCGCTGCAAATGGATATAATCCATTTTTACAACTGAATCAAAAGATCGTTATTTGAAAGCAGACGAACTATAGCACTAGAAGTTTGGGTTACAAGAATAAAACTAACAAAGGTCTTTATTTATCAAATAATTATTCCAATAAAAAACAACTCAATACTAAATACTTCAAAATTAAGAAACGTCCATGGCTATGTGCTTAAAGTTTTTTTGCAGTAGTAATATTTTTCCTCTTAACAATTGTGTTTTCTTTCTTCTATTGCTTTCCAAATTAAAACGGAATACTGCAAATGGCATTGGCAGATGTATTTCTATCAAATTTTAAAAAAAAAAGCTGCTATCAATACTGCTATGCCAGCAGCATAGGCCAAAGCTTTTAGTAGGCAGTCCAAAATAATTCCATTTAATGAAATATTCCATTGGAGCTTTACACGTTTTTCTTGTCTCGTTTCTGCTTGTTCCGAAGGGGATGAAAATACCGACAATTGTCGATTCACTAATTTTTCCATTTCAGCATCTATTTCTTGAAATGCCGTGTCAGTGTAGTGGCGGCCATCGTTACTCTCAAATATTGTATCAATTAAAGAGTACAAACTATTCCATTGTTCAGTGATTTTGTCTGACTCTTTCAAACGATTATTTAGGAAAAAAACATTTCCGTTGCATTTTCCAATCAAATCATTCAGAGGTTGACATTGTTGTACAAATGCTCTCTCGGTTATACCATCAACTTCCAAATTGTCTTTCCCAGTAAAACAAACGGCCATATGACTGTACGGATTTTCTTTAAAGAGATCTGCAAGTTTTGTGTTAGCAGTTTGGTCTTCAACTGTATACCTTGACGTAGAATGTACGAATAAAATAATGTGGGGTCCCGGTGCCATCATACCAAAACTCTTCACTATTTCAAATCGAAGGTTATCTTCTGTCATGTTAGTGTCGAGTAATCCGGGAGTATCTACCACAGTAAATATTTTCCCTTTCCATCTCATTTTCCCCATGTTTCCTTTGCTTGTCACTGATTTAACAGAAGTTTTTGATATAAAAAAGTTCCAGCCTAAGATAGTATTTCCAGTTGCACTTTTTCCGGTTCCTGTTTTTCCAACTAGTAGTACCCTTATTTCAGGAAGATAAGCATAATTCCTACCCTAAAAAGAAATTCTAGTGATAATGAATAAAATGAGACAGTGAAACAAATTACTTTTAAGTTGTATTATAACTAGGGATGGCAACGAGTACTCGAGTACTCCAGTACTCGCGCGGAAGGCCGAGTACTCGAGCACAACTTTAGTACTCGGATACTCGTTTGCATTTTATAAATCTTGATATATTTCTCCTCACATTTCCCTACACTTTAGTTCCCTTTGAAATATTCCCTTCGGAATACTAATAAATATCTTTTTACAACGCAAATACGTTTATCCTGAGACTACTATGTGTTATAGTAGTCTCATGTATATCTACTCCACGGGAGCAGATGCTACAGATTTTCTATCAAGTCGGACTTAAAGAACATATCAATGGTTTTATTTGCATGTTTCTAATTTGGTTCATGAACACACATAAATAATTGCTTTTATGATAGGTTATGTTTTACAAATGGTGGTGAGTTATTCATTGTTCAATTGACACAAAAAAGGACAAGCGATACACATAACCAAGGATCAAGTTATATTTTGTGGACATACAGTTTGAGTTCTGCAATAATACGTTTGTCTTTTGTTAAGATGTCATTATATTATAATTAGATTTATGAAAGGTAATAACAAAAATACCACATCCCAACAAAAATCAAAACGTTTCACTAGAAGTTAAAGTTTTATCCAAGTACTCCAGTATTCGCAAGTATCATGACCGAGTACTCGAGTATTAAATTTCAGATCTTTTGAAATCCCTAATTATTACATATTATACTGGTACTATCATCACCTGCAACCACCTGCATTTGAGAGTGCCTAGTGTCACCAAAATAAGTTTGTGTCTGGAATCAAAACATTAGCTTTGATACAAAAAGTGAAAGATACCAAAGGGTCAATCAAAACCCTGGGTAGATGAAAACAGACAATAAAATGACCAGTAGCGTCAGAAATCTATTCAAAACATAATTCATTCCAGTAGAGAAAACGACGGTTACATGAGGAATGAATTTCGGATATAAATAGGGGAACATTCCAGAAGTCATCTTAGACAAAGATTTGCCAAAACGATGTGACAAAATATTTTGGCATCCATAAACTTTTGAGAAGATGCTTCAAGCTTTACAATTGACAATCTTTGTCTTAATAATGTCTTGGTAGGTAGCAGTCCTTGCATGTATGAACTAAACGATATGCACTTTATATACTAGTGTTACATAGAAATGCAAAGTATTAAATAAGAAAAATTAAAATCGAACTATTGCTGTTATTGTAAAATTTGTTCTTCAATCGACTATGTCAAACGTAGGCAACGTAGTTTACTGATGAAGCAGACATTCATGTATCGGTTGGATATTTTAAAATAGAGAATGTCAGTAAAGCGCGAACTTGATCTCGGTGATAATGCTAGCATTTTGTCGTATTTTTAGTGAAGCCTCTTGTACATATTATATGAGCAAAATAGAACTCAAGGAACACACAGACAAGAATATGAGCACAGTTTGTTCGATAGAAATACCGACATTTTATATGAAAAGCTATAAGTATTTTATATATATTTGCGACGATTTTGGCTTTTTAACGACCTTGACTATTCATGAGGGTATTGCACGGTCGGTAAGCTAAATATATTTGCTAGATGTATTGTGTGTTCCTATTGCATTATGCACCCATTTGGGCAATGTATATTCAAATTATTATGAACACATTTCTGGGTATAAAATTGAACATCTTTGAATACATTAACGATGTTTTTTAATAATTTGTATGTACATGGCTGAATCATTCATCAGCTGTAAAATGAATGTTTCGAGCTTTGGATTTAAAAATATTAAACAAATTTCATATCATTTGAGTCAGCCTATTTTTAAAACATCATAGTTTATTGAGAAAAAGAAGTTTACCCCATTTACCTTACACAATCGTTTTAAACTACATTTTAAGGCAACAAATACAAAGAAAGTTCAGTAGAGTAACTGTTCCAAATTCGAGTAAAGTCTGAGTTGTTTACTGCATCTAATGAACAATTTAAACAATGTAGATGTAGTTAGTGAATGTAAGATATGCTTGTGAGCTGATGCAGACGCGCCAGATCTTACTACAATAGCGACATCTAACACGTTGTGTATGACAAGAAAATATTTGCAAAAAACTTCCATAACATTAAACAAAAAAAAAAAGTTTTCTTAACCAAAAAACAGTTTGCTCATATGTGTCCCACTTTGACATTTCCAGGTTAACGGAGGTATAACGTCATTGGAAGAAAAACGTCCTTAACTATATCACGTTTAGTCAAATTTATGTATGGTTAAATACATGTTTATTTCTATACAGAATTTAGAGTCTGGATGCTTCTAAGTTTCAAATATGAAATATATCGCGTACATTTATTTCCTAAGACATGATAATTAATCATATTAATGATTATAACATGAAGTTGAGTACTTTTGTCAGTTTTTACTTATCTTTGTTTTCAAAATGTGAGATTTAAGCAAAACATTTTTTTTGCAGTCTAGACCTGTACGTGAATTTTTCTTATTTTCTTATTACCATTTATTCAATAACAACCGATAATATCATACTATTATATATTTTTGTAAAACATTTCCTACTGTAAGGGTAAATTTTCAAATATTTTTAACAAGTTAATATTACATCTTTCATGTCATATTTTCCCACTGACGTATATAAGCGAACAATAATTGAATTACTTAAATCAAATCTAATCCAGAAAATGAATTATTAATGTTTACAAGAGATTAATGTTGTACAAGTTCTCCTCTTGAATGAATTTTCCGAATCAGAATTGTAAATTGAATATTTTGGAAGGTTTTACCAAAATGTATTTCATGGTGATTACATTTTTTGTTAGATTATGTGTGACAACTGTTAACAAAACACGTTTCTTCGTGAAAAAAATGTTACAATAATTGCATATGTAATTGTATAAATCTGGTCAATTGAGATTTACAAAAACTTTCTTATTTTCTTCAATAGCTATTTATAACGGTGCAACCCTTTAAATACTAGAACTCTAATCGGAAGGGTTTTAATTTTTCATTAGTTTTTTACTGTGAAATTTTAATCAAATTAGGACATGACTTACTTCACGATTCATTTTTGATTACTGTTTTATCCAGATTGAGTTCCCACAATGCTGTGATAAGTTATTCTTTTATTTTGAAATCACTGTATATGTTATATGATATGCGATAATGAACAAAATAGTGCAATTATTACTTCAAGAAATAAAAGTAACTCATGCAATTTTTGTTTAAACATTTAATTTGGAAGAATAAAGTTCTCGTTTGTAACATTAAAAAATACATGTGATTTACGGACCTGTTTATTCATATCACTTTTTCATAATATTTGTTTTTATTCAGATGTATTTGAAGTTATGGTTAATTCTAATTCAGCAGTTTTGGAGTTTATAGGTCCTTTTCTTTTCAAGCCGCATTTCGGGTACATGTATTATTAAACATGATAGTTTGTTGTATATGTGTAGGACTCGGAGGTACGATGGGGACGCTGAATGCGATGGTCACGCTGAAGAGCGATAGTCTGCGCTGACGTGCGATGGTCCGTTCGCTGATGTGCGATTGTCTATATAACGCGTGATGGGTAGTTTCAAATCTTCTAATGTTCAATTATTAAGCCTATGAAAAGTAGTTTTTTTTAATAGTTTTAATAAAATTTTGCATTTGTTATTGTTTTTGTGTGTACTTAGTTACAGTTGCATACTAAGTGAGAGATCGTCCTTTTTGATTTAAAGCATGTGAACATAATTCTGCGTGAACATTTTATCTTTACTTGGTTCCTCTCATGAGTTCCTAGTTTCCATAATATTATAAAACGAAGAATTTGTCTATGGACCCGAATTGTTAAGAGAATGCCACGCTCCATGGGAAATTAAAAAAATATCTTTTGAAGACTTCGAAAAAAATAATTCCGTTACAGAAGGCTAACTTTATTAAAAAGTTTATAAGCCCCTTATTAACTTTAACTCCCGGAAAAAAAACTGCTTCTCACAAATTGATTTTTGCATCGACATGCAAAACGTTGAAAGTACAGTTTATGTAGTCCATTACACTCCAGCTATACAATTATCTCATTTCAGCGTTACCATTATCGCACTTCGGTGTAGCGATCAATAATATAGCGTCACAATGCCACCATCGCACTCAGTGTTATCAAAAACGCACCTCAGCCTCAGACCATCGCACATTAGCGTGACCATTGCGGTTCGTTGTACCATCGCGGTTCAGAGTCCTACATATGTATACAAATTATAGGTTTTTTTCATTAAGACCTTACAAGTGACATAGTTTACTCTCAATATGTTCACCATATGTGTATCATTTTAAAAGACAAAACTAAGAGTGCAGTTGCTAGTATATACATTTTATATATGTGTAGCCTTATTACATGTATTATTTGCAAAGCTATGTATTTCAATAAAATAAAATGTCTTTTTCCTTCTCTCATTGTCTTCTTAACTCTGCTTTTTTAAAAGTAATTTCATAAAAAGTAATGGTCATGATGTTAATGAATGTCATCAATTTTACAAACTGTTTCAACGGCTTAACGCACAATCTTCTGCAGCAATTAGGGTGCGCTTTCTGTCTAGAAACCATCGATATTGTTATTATAGATTTTAAATACAGAAGTTTCTTGTTCTTGATTTGAGATTGGCACATTGATTTTTTTAAAAAGAAATAAGAAGAGGTGGTATGAGTGCCAATGAGACAACTCTCCATCCAAGTCACAATGTGTAAAAGTAAACCATTATAGGTCAAAGTACGGCCTTTATACATATGACAGGAACTCTAAATTTTTCATTTTGATGAACATGCAGGTGTTTATTACGGCCATTGAACAAATCAAACATTAACTTCTAATATTTTTCCGTTTCTTATCCAAAATGTGCTAATGCAAATCTTTTTTGAGCAGTAACTGCATTTCAATAAAAGTATAGCATATAGTGCATTACAGTTGTACTGATGAATAAAAAAGTTGATCGAAAACAGGAATGTCATAAACAATTGATATATAACACATCTCACAGTATAACAGGCTCATACGAAGTTTAATACTTAATTTCAGGAAAGCTCAAACTCGTGTTTACTTACTAAAGTGTCAAACATGACCATAGTATAAGACTATGTGAGTTTTCAGTTAGCATTATACTATAAATTGACTAATGTAAAAACACATCATGCTTTAAAACATGCTACATGTAATATGAAGATTGCTACCAAATGTCAGCTCTATTTGTGGCGTCTAACAAAATTGTGACACAGAAGCCCTAGGTTTTACAGATAGATTGATTGATAGCCGGGCGGACAGACATGAATACATCAGTTTACCATCGACTTCTGGTGAGGGGATCATACAAATGTCGAGGACATATAGGGTGTGACCCAAAAGGTTTTTATTATCGTGTTCTTTAATTGGTTAATCATAGTATATTTTCAACACTGGTGTATAATCACAAACTAGTTATTGCTGAAGTGTAGAAGGCTAAACAGTCATAGTAATGATACCATAGCGTAAATAAGACACGAGATTTAATACGGTAGCCGATAAAAAATTAAATTCATTGACTTACTTAGTACATGTACTAAAGATAACAAGATCGGATTAAGGTTTACTACTTTTTGTATACAAATCATCAAATATTCTACATAGCGTAAATCAAAGAATCTAGCTAGTGTACTTAAGTTATTAAACACAAAACACCCTCCTTTTTCGTATATTACTAGTTTATCAACATAGACTTAATCGTAGTCGAATATATAGGTCAATTATTTTTTGACCCATTTATTCAACGAGGATTCGTACAGTAGGACAGATACGTGAATTTACTGAGCGCATTGTTGGTTTTATCTGGTTTTTCCTTGGTATCAGGATTTAACGCCCCCAGGCGGCCACAGTCTCCTAAAAACCTGAGATGCATTGCAGACTCCATTGTGAATGTGGGAAACTTAAAGAAGCCGATTGAATGCTGAACTCAGATTATCAGTAATTATTGATGATGCAAATGGGGACGAGTGCGAATGTTGAAAAATTGTCAAATCGGACAAGGGATAATTTAAACTGTCTACTATCATAATTGGGCTCCGGCATACATTATTCAGGGCTTTTGCAAATAAATAGAAATGGAATGAATCAAGAACGTAATCATATTCTTACTGGTTAGAAAATGCGTTGAACTGCGATGTATCTTCATTAAATACAAGTAAATACATAAATTCATAAAATATTTAAAAGAATTAAATCATTGCAGGAAAAGAACATAACAACTACCATCAATAGAAAAGTAAAGATAACTTATTGAAGTTTTATATCATAAGTCAAAGTAGGAAACCAAGTTCTATGTATTTTTCGAAGAGAGGATAACAATAAACTATTGTGCATTTTTACCACAAACATGTTGTAAGCAAATGCTTTTATTTCAAATCTGAAAATAAATGTGTAATAACATTGACCGTATAAAGCCTTTCTTACATGTCTTACGTTGTGAACTTTATATTATCATGTATTTTAAATAAAGTTATGGTCACCGTTTTGTTGAATTTCAAGTTTGCCGAAGTTCGTGATCAGGTTTAACAATTTTATCACAAAAAAATGTAGTATGGAGTAATATTACAAATATAAAATTCTATTTATAGTCGATATGGAACAGGAAAGTCGTGCATTTGTACATGTATGAAAGCTTCCTACAATTACATTTTATATTCAATGGCAATGTATTGTCATTCCGTTAACGTACAATTTCAAAACAAATCAAAGATGCCACATACTAACGTGTGAAATCAACTTCATTACAAACGACATGTGCATCCGAAGTAGACTTCACATTATTTAGTCATGGCCAAAGAAGTAAAAAATCAGTCCTATCATTACCATGTACGGAAAGTATAGACGATCGAAATTACTGATCCGTAAAAAAAACAAGAAAGTTTCCAGGAATACATGCAAAATCTTAAGTATTTGCTTGCATGAGTATTTGTTTCTTTGAATGGGATAGTACTCCACCTGCAACAGCAATCAAGTGATGTTATACTATGACGAGTGAATTGAAGTTTTATGTCGAGAAGCAAATATAGAGCGTACCTATTCATGTTAACAAAAGTAAAGTGGTTAGTACAAAAATGGTTTTTGCATTATATCAGTCACCAAGGTAAAATATGCATATGGACAAATCGCATAGTGTACACTATATTTCGATTCTTCTAAGATGCCAATTTGTTTTGTTATTCTCTAAAAAGCCATGGTATTACCTGGAAAGAAGCATTTCCAAATGTTAAAGTTTTTGATTGTGTTTAAGTATGGTCAAACCAACGAACTGTCATACCTGAATGGACTGCACTAATATGACGGCTGCTAATGTATAACAAACCATAATGACAGAGTGACAATATATCAAGAGCTACAACTGTAAGTATTTTTTATTATTGATTAACGAATATCAAACGGGAATTGTCAATTGAGAAATCTTTTTGCCTGATAGCATTGTTGGAGTTGTTTGTAGTAACGGTTAAACCCTTTCCACAAAATTGTAATATAAACTTCTAAAATACTGTATTAATTGAGAATAGGCTGTAAAACTCATACAATTGAATAATGTAACATAACATTAAAAAATCCTCACGCTTTCAGCTTGTTTAAGATCTTAAATCTTTTTTTTTTTCTATTATCAAATAGCGTCATTTAAAGAAAAGAAACCTTTGCTGATATGAAATCGTATCATTTGAAATCTGATTTTCACAAATATGTTTACAAAAGATCTACGCACTATTGAAGGGAAAAATAAATATTCATGGTTTGTTCTATGGAAAATTCATTACTGAACATAAACAAAAAAATGAATATGTAGTTTTATTGCTAATTAAAATTAAAATTATCCAACAAATAATTGTGACAATCAAGCAACACGCTAACCCAATGCATAGTTTAAACAATATTTGAATAACAATAATATTGAATTTTATTTGGTAATATGCCAAGCATATGAGAGACCTCATCTCATAGTAAGCTATTCAAAACCCTGATCATAAAATATGAAAAAAACTATATGCAAAACCAAACCCGTATAGTAAACTTCCAAAGACCTTGGAATAATAAAATATGAAATAATTTAAAAGTGCAAACTGCCATTTTGTATGATATACTCTTGGGGAACGTTAATATTCCCAATTAGAATTTGAAACGCACTTTATTTTAATATTGACAATAAGAAGCTCCGTCATGAAACATGCAAATAACAATATGAGGCAGGATTTCAACTGTTTTGCTAGATTGAAAACGATCCGTTTCATAGCTCCTTTTGTAAGGCATTTGTATGTTCTCGGAAACTGACGACACGACGGACAGAAATAAGAGGCAAATCTAGCAAAGTAGTGAGTTTAATTTCGTGTAAAAGTGTTTATACCTTAGTCTATGTCATACCACGCTGTCAACTGAAACAGAGTTTTCATATTACCATATTCTAAAGACGACAAGGCATTTACAAAAATAAAATCATACAATGTAAATAAATCGGCTAAGTATGTCCTGTCACGTTCAAAATTTATCAAAAATGAAAACAAGACGTAAAATAATGTCATGCGTCTGAGGCGCTTTTCTGGATTTACCTTCATCAGGAAAGCTCAAATCCGAATATATGAAAGCCGGGAATATATAAGTACCGAAACATTTGAAGAGCTATATGATAAAAATATACCGAAAAAAAGTAAAATCCATCTAAGGTCAACTTTGCTTGAGGGAGTTGAAACCTTAGTTTATTTATAATTTCAAAATTTATAAACGGACAATTTTGAATAGGTTTGTTATAAATCATGTCAGTACCGAAGTACTGACTACTGAGCTGATGATACCCTTGGGGAAAGATAGTCCACCGGCGGAGGTATCGATCCAGTGCTGTAAAAAATGAAAACAACACCTTTTGATCTATATGATAGAATCTATACAAGGTATAATATACCGATGAGCAACTTTGAGATATGATTATTTGTAACTTACCGTAGTTTCCTGAGTGATCGGATATCGCTTTTCACTACCTTAAATGAAAATAAAACTAATATTGACTTATCTGTGCTTGCTTAAAACCAAAAATACTATAGCAAATACAAGTCATATGTTGATAGAAGTTTGTTGACTAAATAATACGATGAAGCCAACATGCCAACATTTTTAAAGATGAAATATTTGTATTCAATTTTTTTCAAACAGTATTTTTTCCTTACATCAGATTTCTTCCTGATTTGATATTTATTTATGAAAAGGAAGTGCTGTACATTGAAATATTATTATGTTGTGTACCTTCTTCAGTGTCGATTTGGCGTGCGGTATGTTGGCGATATAGAACAGCAATTCAAAAAACGCATGAATGATCATCGAAGTGACTACACCTGCAAGCCCGACCTCTCCGTAGGTCGTCATTTGCTCGGGAAAGTTTTTGGATAATAAAGGACAGTTTCCCCAGAGGGCTTTACTGGAAAAACATAAGATGAGTCCCTACCATCACTTGTTTGCTGTAATTCAGGAGTCAGTACAGGACTCTCACAGTTTTAAGGAATTTATTCCTCCTCCCAAACATCAATATTGTCAAAAATACGTATTAATTCGTGATAATTTGTATAACGATCAAGATTATTGTTTTAGTTCGACTACCACATGTCAAGATAAGAATCATTTGACATCTTACTGAGGAAGGATATTAGTTATCTGAAATATTTATATTTGTTCATAATTTTACTATTTTTTTGGTGATGTTGTACCCTTTTAGACTTACTTATTATATATATGAACAAGTGACAACTCTACGACAGATCCATCCATTTGATCACCAGTGAAGGTGATACACAGATGAAAACACACATGATATTCATAATTACTCTAAATATCAGTACAAAAATGTTAAATCTGCAAAAATATATAGTATATTAAATAATATTCGAGTTCTTTCTTATTTGTAGGCATTTTAAATACCTTTTTATTGATACTTTAACTATGTTATACCATTTTCCTTCAGGCCTTTTTATGTATAGTCATTACAAACTATGAGAATAAGGCAATGCTTTTAACTTTCAAAAAGTATGATTACCTAATCTTATGATGCTATTTTTCAAAACAGCACGAAAAAAAGAAATCATTCTAACATTTTAGGATTTATACTCCTATGCTACTTTAAGTTTTAATGAGCATGATATTTCTCATACTGAAAATGTAGTTAAACTATAAACTATATCATTTCATCATTATTTTATATAATTATTTTATATTTGTTTGATGAAAAACACAGGCAGAAGAATCAAAAAAAGCAGAATCAAAACTCTTTACACATAGACAAACCGGCAAATCTATAAAAAAAAACCAAGTTACATTACTAAAACTTGTTGGATGTGTACTGATTGATATTTTAGTCTTAGATGCATGAATGTTTTATTAGTTGTTATTGACTTTGAACTAGATGTCAGTACCTGCGAGTACTCTTAGATCTGTACTTAGAGTCTTTTTGTTGTGAGGATGTAAAAGTAACCTGCCACGTCCATTCTGTGTTATTGTTAGATATATTTCTGCTTGATATCGATCTGATGAGTTAAGTCCTTTTCAACTAATTTTCATAACTTGTTCTTATGCTGTATTGTTACACCACTGTCTCAGTTAAGAGGATGGTTGGCGCTTTCAGACTAGTTTAACACCGCCACATTCTGTCTATCCCAAGTCAGTAGCCTGTAATTCAGTGGTTGTATTTTGTTGCTGTATATCAAATTTGTTTTTCGATCATCATTTTGTACATAAATCAGGCCGTTAGTTTTCATGTTTGAATTGTTGTACGTTTGTCATTTCGAGGCCTTTTATAGCTGACTATGCGGTATTGGTTTTACTTATTGTTGAAGGCCGCACGGTGACCTTTAGTTGGTAATTTCTGTCACATTTGGTCTCTTGTGGAGGGTTGTCTCATTGCCTATCATATCACATCTTCTTATTTTTATAAAAGACAAACATCAATCTACAAAACATTTTGTAAGAAACATACAACAAAACTAAATTATCTTTTGTCTGAAATGTTAAAGAAAAGTACGAATGATTTTTAAATTGGGGGAAAGGAAATTTTAATCGTTTGTATAATCTACAAACAATTGTTTGCACTTATATTAAATCTTTTTGAACAAATTATGGTTGTGTAATTTAGAAATGCAGTTTGTTAGACTCAAAATGTAAAATCATATGTACCACTACTAAATATTTTGACCGATTTTTTAAATCGTTTGTTCAAATAAAAAAATCCTTTGAACCCTCTTAAAACGTCAAAAAATGTTTGTACTATTTAATTAATCGTTCATACGATTAGACAGCCCTTTGCATCGTATAACAATCCTTTGTACAATTCCATAAACCGTTTGTACCATTTTGAAAATCGTTTGTAAACTTTCAAAATTCTTATTAGAATATTTCTAATATCCTTTGAACGATTTAATTGTTTGTAAGGCTTAGAAATCGTGTGTATGATATTTGAAAATCATATATCGCTGATGAGTATTATGAAGACGAAACGCGAATTTGGCGTAGACAATTTATATTCTGTACTATCTATGATAAATTTGTATCCAATAGTTCAAGCGATTTTCAACAACATCTAAGAAATTATTATATAAACAATGAACGTTTCAAATGTTAATAAATTTGTAAATTGCTTATTAGTTTTTTTTTAAACCAAACTATGATGCTACATCTGATCCTTATTAGTATTTGTGTTCTACAAGTATTTCAACAATGTTAACTCTGAAGGGACCAAACTATTTTTATTAAAGATATAAGATTATGTGCATAGGTGTTGAACTGTTTTTGGAGTACTCACGAATAAAACATTCCAAGTGATAAAAATGTTTGAAAATTGTTATAAAATATCCAAGATCAACACGTACATATAATACTGACAACATGCATATATTTTTTTCCCATTTATAGTTGTATTCGAGATTAAACATTGTATGAGTGTCTATCACATCCATAATTCTAAATCAACATTTTACACCTTATTTTTAAAATCAGATTAATACTTTTTAAGTCAGTGTCAACGCGTCGTTGTTAGTGAACAGAATATAAGATCATAATGTGTGGAGTATTATTTTATTATAACAATTATGTTGGTTATTTAAACATATAAAAGTATGGGTGTTGTACCTCGTTTGATTTCCCTCTGGTCAAGTGAGGTTTTTTAAATTGTGTATCGTTCATGACCGTTTGGTGACTTGTCAGTTGATGATTTGAACTATCAAGCTGACTATTTTATTATTCTTATAACTCCTAAAAATAATTAACTAATGACAGATACATGATTAAAATGTTGTACGCAAGATGCGCTTTTCGTCTACAAAAGACTCATCAGTGATAGCTTTCACATACAGTATATCATTCGCGTTATACCGCTACCAAAACTATTGGTATAGTTTAGTCATCATTCGAAATAAATATGTTTCACAGCTTATTGGGAAAACACGAAGTCGCAGACGACTATGTACCGTATTTAGTAGTTCTAACCTAGTATTTTATTCATTTAATTTAGCCATCTTTTCTTAAAACGTCTATAGAAATGTTCCTTCCCTCATAAAAACCAACGTGTCTTTTATTTTTACATCCCCTCTTTTGCAGAAAAATTATAACAAATATATTTGCAGACCATACTTAATGAGGTGAGATGGTTATTACAACTTACCTGCCATCGCGATATGTTTCAATCCATAAATGTCGATCATTTAATTTTTATTGCACTACCTGGGTTTTTTTTATATAATATTGCTCAACCAATCATTAACGTTCCTCTATTGAAATAAATGAAATATAACGTCGCAAAATGTTAACGGCCTTTACAGAATACGTTACAAAAGAAAGTCGAAGTTTAAAACCATAGAGTGTTGAAGAACCAATGTCTAGATAAATATCAATTACATGTTTATATATTTTGTTAGCCGCTGTCATAGCCGCGATCGGTTTAAATGTAAATATGTTAATTAAATTACCTAATTTGAATTAACAAAAAATGAAAAGTCTATCATGTAAACGACAACGACAAATTTTCATCGAGTAAAATGATTTTCAAGATTGAAAACAAAATAACCCCGTCCCCACCTGATGCCTTTAAGGTCCGGAAATAATTCATGGATTAAAAAAAAAAAGACTTAGAGCTGAGATGATGAAATGGTGATGACAATATTTTTGGGTTAGAGCACCTATCAAAATGCATGAGGCGTATTTGCAAATGTCGTTCATTTTGAAATATAAGCTGGCCCTCGTTGTAATTTTCTTATTCGTTATCAATTATACTATTCATTGAAGACTTGCACAATGACAGAAACGTATATAAACAGTAAATCACCCGATCATAGGTACAGATGATACTGGCTTAAAGACAACTAGAACCAAAAGTTCTTCAAAGTTTAAAGCCAGAAGTTGAATCCTTTCGGCAGAAATAGCAGTGACAGTTATAAAAAATCACTAAAAAGTGAATAATGGTGACGTACAAACATTACAATCTGTAATCTGCTAGTATAGGATTATGTCACTTCATTCTGAATAGCTTCTAGAGAGTGTCGTTACTCTGTTGATAAACGCTGCTAATGCTGATCACATATGTATAATTCATCAGAGTTCTTCTGTTATGCCACACAAAGGAACTAGAACATAGTCTTATAGTTTGTTCTCATGTTGTACTGTTACACCACTGTCCCAAGTTAGGGGAAGGTTGGCACTTTCAAACTATTTTAACCCGCCACAATTTGTATGTGCCTGTCCCAAGTCAGGAGCCTGTAATTCAGTGGTTGTCATTTGTTGATGTATATCATATTTGTTTTTTCGTTCATTATTGTGTACATAAATCAGGCCGTTAGTTTTCTCGTTTGAATTGTTATTTTGCTCCTTGTAGAAAGCCGTACGGTGATCTATAGTTGTTAACTTCTATGTCATTTGGTTTCTTGTGGAGATTTGTCTTATTGTCAATCATACCATATCTTCTTATTTTTTTAGAAAATAGTATTTTGAATTAACTCATCTTATCTTTGAACTATTGACTATATAAGTAAATGATATCTTCATGACAAACGATTGATGCATTAGCAGTTTTGTGTTGTTCATATCTCGTTAATCTATTAGGCAGAGACGAATCAAGGGACAATCATAAAGTGCAGGAATCACACGAACTACAAAAGGAGCGAGACCGCGTGCGTCGACGCGGTAAGAGTCTCTTGCTATGCATGCATCAGCTTACACTCGGCTTCACACTCAGTAAAAATTCACAATCAGGAAGAAGACGCACTCAGTAAAATTAAAGATAAGACGACTTAACTGGTATCTAACGAAACCAGACCGCGAAAACATGTCTTTAGTGACTTGAGACACCGACACATCGTATCGGTGAACCAATTCGTGATTGTGACCGTAAGACTTAAGTTTTAGTCGTTCTTCCTCATAACGCTGCTAGAGCATTTTTTGTGAAACTGTTTTAAAATTTCTCAAAGTTATTAACAACAGTTTGATTTGAAACTGTCGAATTATATTTAATAAATAACAATCAATCATGAGATACAGTTAGAATCTCTTTAGAACTGTCAGAGTTATCTATCATATCACTGTTCTAAACCATTTTAGAACTGTTCCAAGTTAACAAAATAAATAAATTAAAAAAAAAAATATCTAATAAATCAAATAAATTAAATAACTGGAAACTATTAAATGATCAAATAGTTTTAATGTATTAAAGGCATTTAATTAATTGAATAAGGTAAAGAAATTGAATTGTTTTAATGAATCAGTTATATTAAAATGAATCAACTGATAAAATTAATAGAATAAATAGAATAATAAAAAATCAAATCAAATCAAATCAATCAATAGAATATTAAAAAAAAATAAAAAAAAATAAGATATAATATCAAATATCAAATCAAATATTAAAAAAAATATTAAAAAAAAAAAAAAAAAAAAAAAAAAATTAAAATAAATAAAATATTAAATTAAATCTTAAATAAAATATCAAATAAAATAAATAAAATGAAAATGATATATTAAATAAAAAAATTAGATAATAAAATTGGAATAAATAAAATATAAAATGAATCAAATGAATCAAATCATTAAAATGAATGAAAAAAAAAAAAAAAAAAGATAAATTATATAGAATAAAATAAAATAAAATTGAATTATATTAGATTAAATTAAAAATCGTTATATATAGATAGAGCTGTTAGGATCTGTTATAAAGTTGATTTGTCAAAATCTGTTTTAGGTTATATTATTCCACAACTGTTCTAGGTGAGAACCGCTTTTATTAGAAACTGTTCTGCCAATTCCTGACACAATTCAGGAGAGGTAAAAACTGGTCCCAATGGTACTTAAAGTACTGATTTCAAATACAATTTTAACATGCAATGCTGAAAAGAACGCCACTCTTTTTTTTTGTAGACTAATATATAGTACTTGATAAATTGCATGCTCATATTAGTGATTTCGAATCTGTTCAAAGTCTTGAGTTTTTTACCCTATATACCAATTTGCCTCATAATCTTATTAAGAAAAAATTCACACACCTAATTAAATGGGCATTTAAAAAGTCAGAATGCGAATATATATGTTCAAACTCTTTTAGGTCAGTTTTTAGTAACAACAAACAAAAGAACTATGTCAGCTTTGATTCGATAACTGCACTTGAATTTTTACTAGAAATGTTTTTGTCGCTTTGGAAATTCCGAATTTCGTCAAGTTATTGGAATTCCAACGGGGACTAACTGTGCACCACTTATTGAGAACCTGTTTCTGTATTGTTACGAGTTACAATTTATGACTAAAATCAGCAAAACCTATCGAAACAACATCTGATACAAAAAATTAATAACACTTTTAGAGTTTTGGATGATATATTGGCGCTCAATATTGACGACTTCAGTATGTACACTAAAGAGATGTATCCTGCTGAACCGACTTTAAATAAAGCTAACACTAACAATGAACACTGTCCTTTCCTGGATCTTGATATCTTTATCTTTAACGGACAGCTTAATACAAAAATTTACGATAAAAGAGATGATTTTTTCAATTCCTATTGTTAATTATTCATTTTTAGATGGTGAAGTTCCCTTGTCACCATCTTATGGTGTTTATATATCGCAAATTGTTCGAATTGCTCGTGTATGTAACAACGTATTTGATTTGAACGAAAGGAATCTCTGTATTACTGCAAAATTATTATACCAGGGTTTTCGATATCACAAACTTGTCAAAACATTTACTAAATTTTATCATCGGTACTTCACATCCAATCTTTCATGGTAATATTCTATACAAACCACAAAAATGTCGTCATTCACATTAAAAGCTAACCAAGCCTTTAAACAGACTTATTAAGATTGGATATAGTTACGATACTGTTGTCAGGTCATTAAAGATGGCATTTTTTAGAATTAATATTGATTAACTCATAGGGTCTTTGCATCGGAAATACATTTATTCTAATACCAGTTGTTGGCATGATACGGGTTATGTTCTTCTCATATATTTTATGATGATATGATACGAAACCCCTAACGGGAGGGATGGTGCTTGATTTTCATATGATGGAGACATAATCTTTTAATCAGTTTAATTGAGGTCTGGAGCTGGTATGTCAGTAAATGCTAGTAGTCCTTTGTTATTTTATGTATAATTGTCATTTTGCTTAGTTTTTTCTGTTACCTATTCTAACATCGGACTCGGACTTCTTTGAAACTGAGTTTTACTGTGCGTATTGCTGTGTTTTTGTTTATTCTACATTGGCTAGAGGTATAGGGGGAGGGTTGAGATCTCACAAAACATGGTTAACCCTGCCGTATTTATGCGCCTGTCCCAAGTCAGGAGCCTCTGGTTTTGTTAGTCTTGTATTTTTTTTTTAATTTTGGTTAATTTAATGTTTCGGAGTTAAGGTGACGTCCATTTTTGCTGAACTAGTGCACATTTTTGTTTAGGAGCCAGCTGAAGCCCGCCTCCGGTTACAGGATTTCCCGCTGTGTTGAAGACCCATTGGTGGCATTTGTCTGTTTTTTTTTGGTCGGGTTGTTGTCTCTCTGACACATTTCTCGTTTCCATTCTCAATTTTATTATATTGTTTACATTTTATATGCAACTGGTGATGCTTTAAGACAGTTCTAAATGATTTGCATTGAAACCAAGAAATAATGGGGCTCTGAATTAATGCCGACAATAGTTTTAGCAAATGTAGACAGATATTTGTTCATATTGTATGTAAAACAATCAACATCGAGAAACAAAAGTTCTGATTTTCTAAACCGGCTCATTTATGTCCTTGAAAACAAAAAATATAGTCTCTTAGTTAATGCAAAAAACCTCGAAGCAAGTGTAAAAACTAAAATTGCTCATATTCTATGTAAAACAATACAGGTATATAACTTTCATTAACAAAAAGAAAACTTGAACACTTTGAATTATAAACGACAATTTGCTTTGCAACTGAAGACGTATATTACTCAAATTTCATGTAAAACAATCAATCCTGATGTACCAATACCTGATTTCCAATCCAGTATATACTATTCAATAGAAAGAAGAAATATTGGCATTCTTCGTTTATAAAAAATACTTCATTTTATGTAAACAATCATGATGTCCAATACTAGTTCATGATTTTGGAGCACCGTTTTTGTGGGGTTTGAGTTGCTTTGTCTTTAGTTATCCATGTTGTGTTTTGTATACTGTTGTTTGTCAGTTGGTCGTCTTTCGTATTTGACCATGGCGTTGTGAGTTTGTCATCGACTGATGAGTTTAAATGTCCGTTTGGTATCTTTCGCCTCTTTCAGAATGTAATCATCGATAAGGAGAATGTATGATCTTTCTATGCTCGATTGTGAAGTCAACAGCGTATA